GTGTACCGGAGCTTGATTCATTTTGCCATCATCACGTGATCAGTGACGTCCGAAGCTTCATTTTCGCCTTTACCCACGTGACTGCTTCGAATTTTGATTCAAAGGTTTAAACACCCTCATAGTAAAGTGTATAGCGAGAGAATTGGCGTCTATTACATACATTTGTTTCAAAGCACTGCACCAGTCCCACACACCAGTAATTAAACTAAACTACAATAGTATTTTTTAGTAAAAAGGTTTTGAACAATACTAAAGTGTATTAGCGTATTTTTTTATGACTATCTTTAAAGAAAACCACCGCATATCGTAGTATTGTGTTTAACAAAAACGATCTGGTGAATGCGACGGGGACGCAACATTCACATAGCGTCCTCCAAGAGCACTCGCCTCCCAATCAGGAGTCGCTGTTTCGTTCCCTGTTTGGAGCGGGACTAATTGTGTTATGACAAACTTTTGAATACCTTGGATTTTACTCCAATCATCAGTTGTGTAATGTAATATATCTTGTGTAAAAACTACAGTAATTGAGTAATTTGTTTATATTGCTGTTGTTGTATTACTACATGAATGAGTTGGTCAGTTGTGAACATGTGACATTATGGCAACACAGTGCTTTCCCACACTTTCACCAGAAGAGGTCCTCATCGAGCTCTGATTTAGAAAGCTTCGAGTAACTATCCTTTTTCCGATACAATTGAGTCGAGCGCTTCACTGGTTCAGAAAGCTTCATTTCACCATCACTATTTTTTACAGATGTCATTCAAGAGTTCACACTTAGCTCATGATTTATACATAGCTTGTTTGGCATGCTGTCCCGGGAGAGAGCCCTGAGCTCAAGGGATCCTCGAGCCCAGGGCTCCCCCCCTTTTGCAGGGCGAGTGGAGATTGAGCTCAGGTCTATCTCAAACTCCCCCGCTGCTGAGGCCAAGGCGAACTTCCTGAGAGTAAGACATTATAAAAAAGGTTTAGGCTTGTTTTATCTATAATATAGAGCACATTTGGATGGTGGGAGGAAACCGGGGAACCCGGGGGAAACCCACGCGGACACGGGGAGAACATGCAAACTCCACACAGAAATACCAGATGGCTCAGCGAGGACCCAACACCATTGGTATTCTTGCTGTGAGGCAACAGTGCTAGTCACTGGGCCACCGTGCCGCCCATTCTGGATAAAGGAGGAAGAAGGGGAGGAGGGGGGTTTCTTCCAGACGAAGATAGTTGTAGAAAGAAAATGAGGATATATATAGTGGTTTGGGATCCTTTGATTGGAGGATCATAATTAGTTAATGTGGACCAGCTGGGTAAATCATGAGCACATGCTTCTCCCGAAATTAGTTTAAAACTAAACTTCACTTAAATAAATACGTTATTTTAAAACATAGCTTGTAACAATTAGCATTGTTTTTTAGAGAAATGTTAAATCGTAAGAAATAATATTATCGTAATACTCAACAACATTGCATTATTTTCCAGTACCATGCAGTCTTAGTATCATAAGAGCAGTTGTTTTGCATGCCCTGCTTCTCTGAGCACACATAACTCAGACATGGTGACAAAAAAGGCCGCATACACATCACAGCTCATTTTCTTGTGTGCTGGAGACTGAACCGACAAACCACAGCAAGTTCAGCTGTCAGTGGTCCACCTTTCTGACAGAACCAGCCTCGCTGCACAAAATCTCAATCAAGCTACCAACTCAGATCGCTTTTCCTCCGGGTTGAAAAGAACTCTAAGCAGCTCTGAGTGGCGAGTGTTGATTTTTCCAGCTCCTTTTATAATTTACAGCCTGTCCTCACATTCCAGTAACCTGTGGTTTGAGTCAATAAGTTGTAGATCATTTGTTTTATTGGTTTATTTAGCCCCTCATGCTGGGCTATTGGTGGGCCTTTCCTGGCGCTGGTGTTGTGGTTTTACAGTGATGTCACTGGCCTGCTATGCCTCCACGGGGAAACTTCCACCACCCACTGATAGGTGGCTGTTCCTCCAGTGACCTCCTCAAATCAATGATGCACACAGTCTAAAGCTAGTACTATACCTTACCCCGTGACACGTTACGTTACAGAATACTTATTAGTAAAATACTTTTGTAAAGAGTGAACTGAAAGTGCTGTAATGCTTTTAGACCCTTGTTTGCATGACAGTTGCAATTAAATAGTTTTCGATTAAATGAAGAATGTTTGACACTCATGATGTGCAGTTTATTAAATGCATTTAGTTGACTTGAATGAATGTGATCATATATTTATATGTAAGTAGGTGTAGGGTCAACTGTGGCATTCTATCAGTCACTCCATCCATCCATTATTCTATCATCTATCATTCTATCTATCATTCAACTGTGGCATCATAAAACTATCAATCTATCCATCCATTCACCATTCCATCCATTTATTATTCCATCCATCCATCCATACATCGTTCCATCCATTCATCATTTTATCCTTCAATTTATCATTTAACTGTAGCATCATAAATATATCTATCAATCTATCATCCATCC